GCGGGGGAATGGGGGGGAGGGGGGAGAGTGAGGAGGGAGAAAGGTCGGTGTAAATTCTGTGTGCAGGACGGAAGATCAGTCACAGGTGCCCCTGCCACAGGACCCCTTGGTTTGATGGAGAGAGAAAGTTTCTGTCAATAAAACGTTTGAGACTTGCAGGGCGGAGGGGAGGGGAATTTGTTGTCCAGGCTCCTTGGTTTGGCCCAGCCGGTGTGGCTCAGTGGTTGAGCGTTGACCTATGAACCAAGAAGTCACAGTTTGATTCCCCAGCCAGTAGGTGTGCAGGAGGCAGCCAATCAATGATTCTCATCATTGATGTTTCTATCTCTCTCCCTCTCCCTTCCTCTCTGAAATCAATAAAAATACATTCTTTTAAATATATTTTATTGATTTTTTACAGAGAGGAAGGGAGAGGAATAGAGAGTTAGAAACATCGATGAGAGAGAAACATCACATCGATCAGCTGCCTCCTGCACACTCCCCACTGGGGATGTGCCCGCAGCCAAGGTACATGCCCTTGACCGGAATCGAACCTGGGACCCTTCAGTCCGCAGGCCGACGCTCTATCCACTGAGCCAAACCGGTCAGGGCGATAAAAATACATTTAATTTAAAAAAAGAAGAAGAAGAAAGAAAGAAAGACCCCTTGGTTCGGCCTGAGAGACGCCCTGTGTTCCACACGTGGCCGGCACACGGGCTCCCTCTCCCACCTTGACTCAGGTCCTGCTGCTGTTTCTCCAGTTGGGACTCCAAGGACTTCATCTTCCTGCCCACACCTCCTCCTGGGGGAGACACTTGCTCAATGTCCCGACACCCCTAGCGTCCCACAGCCCCCCACAGCCTCCGCCCCAGCCCCCTCACCCACCCTCAGCCCCAGCCCCCCACAGCCTCAGCCCCAGCCCCCTCACCCTCAGCCCCAGCCCCCCTCACCCTGGATGCGCAGGTCCTTGACCTCGGCCTCTGTGCTCTCGGTGAAGTTGCTGAACGTCTCTCTCAGGGCCCGCAGCTCCTCCTTCAGCGTGGAGTCTGGACAGGAGAAGGTGTGAATTAGACAAAAAGAGAGGGCTGTGTCCACCATCATGGCTCCCAGCACTCCCGCCACCACTGCTCCCATCACCCCCTCCCCCTGCCCAACATTGCTCCCTTCCCCGCCCACCCCTGGGGCACCCACTCTGGGATCCGATCACACAGACAACCACCAGCAGCAGGAGGCTGAGGCCCAGGGAGAGCAGGAGGAGGCGGGGTCCGGAGCAGAGCCGTTGGAAGAGTGGTCGGGGAGGAGGCGGCCCTGCAAGAGGAGAGGGTCTCAGGGTCCCGGCAGAGTCTGGGGTCCTGGGAGGAGAGCCGGCTAAGGCTCCTCGTAGGCTCGGGGGAATCACATAGAGTAAGGAGCAGGAGCGTGTCCTGTCCAGAGCGGCTCCTGGTTGGAGCGTCTCCCGTACACCACAAGGTCAGGGTTCCCTTCTCAGCCAGGGCACATACCCAGGGTGCTGGTTCGGGCACATGCATTTATGTTTCTCTCTCTCCCTCTCCCTTCCCCTCTCTCTAAAATCAACAAAAGTACCAGCTGCATGGCTCAGTGGTTGAGCATCGATTGACCTATGAACCAGGAGGTCACAGTTCAATACCCAGTTAAGGCACATGCCCAGGTTGTGACCTCCGTCCCCAGTGGGGGTGTGCAGGAGGCAGCCGATCAATGATTCATCAATGATTCTCTCATCGTTGATGTTTCTATCTCTCTCTCCCTCTCCCTTCCTATCTGAAATCAATAAAAATATATTTTAATAAATAAATAAAAGCATGTTCTCAGGTGAGGATTTTTTTTAAAAAAAAAAAAGAAGAAGAAGAAGAAGAAATATGGGCAGTGGGTGATTGAGCGGCCAGAGGCCTCTGGAGGTGGGAAGGGAAGGGAAGAGGGCTGCAGGTGGAAGCAAAGCTTTGACCTGCCCGAGCCCTGCCCTGGGCTGTGGCTGACACCTAGTGGCCCGACTGTGTCAGTGCAGCTGGTGAACCTCTTCAGAGCCGTGAGGATGGAGTTTGTGAGCTGGAGACCAGCTGGGGAACCAGGGCTCCTCCCTGAAGGTGGGGCAAGAGGCAGAGGTTTCTTCCTCCCTCCAGGGGTCCCACCGCTCTGGCTGGGGGCAGGCTGGGGGCCGGAGGAGAAGGGGTGGGTAGCCAGACTTCAGGTCCCTCAAGTTGCTCCCACCAGGCAGCCCTGTTCCAGTGAGCTGGGGTGTGGGAGGCCTCCCCTCCATTCTCGCACCCCCTGTACCCCCTTTCCCCATCAAAGGGCACTGCCCACTCCCACCCTCCAGGAGCTGGATCCTCGCTCAGCCCCAACGGCGTTCCTGCTCACGGGAGAAAAAACGGGGGTCTTTTTATTATTGTTGTTGATGATTTTTAGATAGAGGGGGGAAAAATCAATGTGACAGAGAAACATCAATCAGTTGCCTCCTCTATGTACCCCGACTAGCTATGTGCCCTGAGGGGAATCGAACCTGTGACGGTGGTGCTCCGACTGAGCCACACTGACCAGGGCGCGGGGTCTGATTTTTATGTAGGAGAGCCTCATCCTCCCTCAGATCAGAGACCCCTCAGCCTCTTCACAGAACTCTTTTTTTAAAAAAATATATTTTATTGATTTTTTACAGAGAGGAAGGGAGAGGGATAGAGAGTTAGAAACATCGATAAGAGAGGAACATCATCAATCGGCTGCCTCCTGCATACCCCAAACTGGGGATGTGCCTGCAAACAAGGTACATGCCCATGCACACTCCAAACTGGGGATGTGCCTGCAAACAAGGTACATGCCCTTGACCGGAATCGAACCTGGGACTCTTCAGTCCGCAGGCCGACGCTCTATCCACTGAGCCAAACTGGTTAGGGGTCTTCACAGAACTCTTATCCCCTGAACAAACTGATCACACACACACACACACACACACACACACACACACAGCTCACTGGTGTTGAAAGAGGAAAGGAGGAGGGGCCTAACTTCCTTCATTACCACCACACTCAAGGGCCCACCCCCTCCCCAAGGCCCTGAGAAGTGGGTGGCATGGCAAGGGTCAAGGGTACCCTCCCCAAGACAGAGCTCCAGCCCCACACCCCACACCTCCCCTACGAGGGCAGCTCAGGCGCTCGCTATGTTCTCAAGACAGGGGCAGACCAGAGGCAGAGGCAGGGGCGTAGAAAGAAGCCGGAGCCTAAAGCTCGCCCTTCCGAAATAGCGGCGTCCCTCACCTCGTCTGATCTGATGGTCATTCTCCTCATTGTCCAGGTGCTGAAGATCTTGATAATCCTTGGTCATGGTGGGGCTGGCTGGACCCCGGACTGAGTCAAGGCTGAAGTGAGGGTTGAGATTGGGACTGAACCGAGTTGGGGTATGGCGTCTTTCCCTTCCTAAGTGACCCGCGGCGACGTGCAGACCTTTCTTCTTTCCCTCATTCCATCCCGGGCCTGTCTCCCCTGGAGTGTTCCCACCCTCCCCCTCGCCCCC